CTTCTTTACGAGCTGCTTTTCTGCGACGCCTCGTAATCGTGTACGTTTGTCAACGTTTATCGACGTTTATCGATCGGCGCTCGAAAACTCGCTCGTGTATATACGATATATACGAAGACGAGATGTACGAGAGCATCGACGATCCCGAGAAAGACTTTTTGAAAGGCTCATTGCGCGAGTGCACCGTTCCGTCGATATTGCAACGATCTAATCAGCAATGAGTACGCAATCGACTTCTTATAGTCGGCGGGGAATGAGTTGTGGCGAAAGGCTCTTCTGATGACTGAAATATGCCCCGCTGTATCCTCCATTCCCCCGATAAATAAACGCTCGACAGCGTACGTAATTAATTTTCCGAATGACATAATTCTTCCCGATCTGCAAATCACCTCGCTTGATGCAATAAATTTATAAATACTTATATTTATATAATTTATAAATACTTATATTTATAAATACTTATATTTGATAACAAATGAAATTACGATGCTCATGATAATAGGTGAATCGTAATGCATAATAATTGCAGAATAATTTTGCGGCGTGTCCGAATTGTATTTATTCCGAAAAAAAAACTTGCGTCACGCATATCAAACTCAATATTTATCTTGTTGAAACGTTGAATTTTTTACAACTCTCATAATATGTAATATATTTATAAATTCACTCTTTGCTATGAAATTTAATATACAATTGTGATAAACAAATTGATTAAAAATATCTTCCTTTTATATTTATTCGATGGTATCGAAAAGTAATATCGGAGGCTATTAAATGCGGACGATGAAAATTGATTTTTTTTTTATTGGCTGTGTTATCATGCAGCATTTATCTTGTTCTTTGCTCACATCGATTAGGATCGTCGGATGCTCGATGCTCTTTTTTTTTGTCTACCTCTTTGGCATTCTACCTACTTGGCATCCTCGGCGGTTTCATCTCCTCGCACAGAGTAGTTCTTCCCAGGAATTTGTCAATGCTCAGGCGATCGTTATGCGAGCCACGTTTTCCATAACACGTGACTGCAATGTTAATTTTTTTACTCCACATAGTTCTTTTCGCCGTGCCCATCGTGCCTATGTACCGCGATTGAAATTATTTTAAGGCTGTCTTTTGCTCAACGTATCCGATATTGAATTTCTGACGACATCAGATCGTCGAAGAGGAGAAATTTTCGAGCGTCGTGGACTTTTTATAGCTGGAAATGATCAGTTATTTCTGCTTCCGTCGCGGAATGGGAATTTTTACTTGATTGAAAAAACTTGAAATTAAAATAAGATTGTTTGTTTTGCAGAATCTGATATTATACATAACGCAAACCGTTAACTTCTTTATGAAAATAAAACTTCTGCTGATATCATCGCTTTTCTTGAGAGAACACTAATAATCGGAATATTCTAAAATATCAAGCACTTAATAGAAAGGAACTAGAAGGTGCAAGATTGCAATTGCGTAACTTCTTCGCAAGTGGATCGTATGGAAAGAGGAGATACGTTATTAAAAACTATACAATTATATCATGATCACAATTAAAACATGATAAAAGAAATATTTCCGTAATAAAACTGCGAATAATTCTGATAAAAATACTGCATGTAAATTATTCACAAACCTTGCTTGATGACTATATTGCACTAGTAATTTTCTGAGCTGATTATTTTTTAAAGATATTCACGGACCCAAGAGGGATGAAAGTTTTGCTCTTAAGACAACCCAATTTAATATTTATTCTGATTTATACGCAAGTGTATACATATTTTCAACATAATTCTGAACAATGGATTGAATTCATATTGCATATTGTGTCATAAATTTTCCTCTCAAGATTTCCTTCTGAGATCGGGAAAATCCCCTAAAAACTCGGGCCAAGAGCGAGTAACTCTTGTTAGTTTCAACATAATACCTGTTTCGGTTTTCCGCGCGCATGGACGCGTCGCCATAAATCAAATTTGCGATGATACATTAAGATGTGAAAACACGATCATCTACCGGGCGGTGAGATCGATACCTAGAAAAGAATCGGCCGGGAAGCGATTAATCGTAAGTCTCGTTTGTAATCGCTAAGAAATCGATTCGACCTGTTATAGTCTCTTCCTCTTTGCCGTCGGAGTCTTTAATGTTCCGCTTATCTCGAATAAATTCAATCTACCGTGAGAAGCGATATATTGACTCACCATGATTGAGAAATATCAAGTTACTGCGGATATATCTTCGGGGATTGCGAAATACGACGTTGACGACGTTTAATATAAACTTAACTTTTAATAATTAACTTTAGAATATTGTAAATGACTTTCGACATGACGAATGAACGCGATAAGCTTTTGTAAAATATCAGATACAGATCTTTAAATTCAATTTCCAAGTCAGTTAAAAATCTTATAGCTTTTATTACTTCTCAATTAGATTATAGATTTTACATTTTGTTTTATTTCATTTCAATGTTCTTCCTCTTACAATTAACTTTTTCTGGATCTCATATCCTCTTATCGAGTCTATCGATTACAACATCAACAACGCCGCGCTCCAAAGAGACATACGAGCGAGTGTCCTATATTTCGAGCATATGACGTTTCCTTCCTTCCTAGCCGCGTTCTCATAACGACGACGTTTCTTGTTCTGCTCCCAAGATTGTGCTGATATTTTGTTACTGTCGCATATATGCCGATTGCACGATTCGATTTACCGGCGACGAAGTCAATATCCCTCTCAACGGGAACACGCATCGCAGTCGTTTTGTCAAGAATCGCTTGAGCCGCTGGAGCCACACGGCCCACTCTATATGAATAATGTAGCAATGTTATAAATTTATTCGATTGTCATTGCGGTGGTGCACGATCGGAATCGCATATCGACTAAACAGCGGCTGCCACGGAGAAAAATACCATTCCGACGAATTAGTGTCTGTAGCAAGCTGGAAATTTGCGTGACTGTTTGCTGTAAAAATTGGAGGCGAGCATAAGTTATAAATGGAATAATAACCGAGAAATAAGTGGAATCCGCTGGCTCGTCGTAACGTCATGATATTTTAATAATCTGCTTACTTATACATCCGTCTCTCCCCGTATCCCGGATAATCTTTAAATATATTTCATTTTTTAGACAGGAATTATATTAAATACGGGTTTAATTTTTCTCTCTGCGGACAAACATGTCGGAAGTGAGAAATCAATACTCTGATTCGCGCTAAACGGGAATTTCAATCGTTAAGAAATGGTGACTGGATAATTTAGCTTTGCTCGGTAATTTTGTTTAAAAATAAGTAAATCTATTTTGGTCGAAGAAGACACAATTATTTGCTCAGAAAAAGAATTCTGTAAATCATTTCGTGCAACAAAAGCTTGACGTTTATATGACGTGTGAAGTATCTTATGAAAAATTTTTATGTATTTACCGCTTTAGTACGAGAAACATGTTTCTATGTGATTTTTTTTTCCGCAGCCGAATGATGATATTTTCTTCGATCCGCATGAATGCGCGGGAGAAGATTTATAGATCCTTACAGCCATATAAATACAACCGACCCTCGTTAATCACACCTCCTGACTACTACAAACAAAAATAATCGGGATCAGATAGTTTAAGAAAAAGCGAGCTTCGTTGGATACTCGAATCACCGTTGATCTACTGGGATGCTCGTTTTTCATCGTGTTTTATGTGTCGTTTAATCCGTTTGCAACATTTATTAATATATCTTTATACCTCAGTAACACAGAAATCCTTCCTCCACATCAACATATGTGCTTTTAACGATCAGTAAAACATGGTTCATAGCACATAAGAGGATAACATTTATCCACAACAGAGAGTCCATCTCGAGAAGAAAAGTTATGTCTGGTGATCGTAACGCGGTTACGAAATTGTACTATGAATTCTCGTCCGTGACTTCCGCACGATATATTATGGTTTTTGTGATATATATAAAGCTTTGCTCTGAAAAATCGCGCTCGATCGCAGATCGGTAAGAAATTAGCGCTGCATTAAACAATACGCTTTATCTTTTGCACTTCCGCTGACCGCGCCTTCCTGCATCTAGCATGTATCGTTTACTTGACCACTTTTTGCCCACTCCAAGTTCGGAAGAAAAACGTATCGTCCATTAGTATAAATAATTATTCTTGCGACAAAACAAGCAGACTTCTGATCCAAATTTGCGCTTTTTTATAAATTTTGACTAAGGATATATAAAAAATTAAGTTTTCATGATGTACGTTTTAATTCTCCATAACCTAAATTTTTTGGGCTTGAAAAAAGTTACATAACTAGCAAATATTGACTTTGGAATATGAACTGCCAATTAATTTCCAATTTTTAAATATTTTATCATGAAAATCAAATTCTCTTAGTATACAAGGACTTCTGTCTTCTTTCTCTTTATAAAATCTGCCTAGTGCCAAAGAATGATACAATAGTAAAATATTACGCTAAATTATAATGAAAATGAAAAGACCTAAAAATGCAGATATATGACTTCAAAATCTCGTGATATTATAGAAGGCTAATATTAAAAGACACGTAATTATCTCGGTATAATACAAAATTTTTAATTTTTTTTTTTTTCTTTATAACGTTATAGAAAGTTATAAATTAATTAAATTTTTACATTAAATATTTCCAGAAATTTATCTCTTCTTCTTTTTTTTTTTAAGGGGAAAATAACTTACATCACCGTGTTAGCCATACGGATTCATATATCTCTATGATCGCTGTTATATGAATACGTGTTAAACACACGTACTCCCGGCGCTAATATTCTGCAAACGAGAACGAATTGACGGCGGCAAATCGCAGAATGTCATCCGCGCGATAATAAGCTTTCATGAAACGAAATGAGATGAAACCTATCGCAAACCCGGTGTTATTTCCGCCGTCGTGCTATAAGCTCCTAGCTAGTTAATAACGAGAATCGGTTTCGAAATGCGCTTTATTCGCGCACGCGCCTTCCTCCGAGCGAGTCCCAACTTGCGATACGTAACTGCTACGGAATTAATTCTCTATTTCAGAGGCTGATCGCTGAACTTAATAAGGAACAGGAGGCTTTCATCGCCAGTAAGCAGACAGGCGAGAAGGTCGAGGCTGTTGCACCGTGGGTTGGCGCGCCGAATGAGGATGCGCTGCGTGAGGAGTGCCTGTCCCTTTCGACCGTAATTCTCTTTCTTTTCTTTATCATTTCTTTCCATCTTCTTCTTTCTCATCTTTTCTTTCCATTCATATAAGAAATCTTCCTAGAAATTGTTTTAAGATTCTTGACGTGAATTTGTTACGATCCATTCTTTGGTCACACGAGCATAATAATAATGCTTCATGTCGTTTTACTCTATTGTATAAATAAAGGTTTCATCAAATAACGGAAAAAAATCTTAAAATTTTCTTAGATCTCTACACGTACGAGAGTCTTTTCTTAGTTCGAAAAATAAATGCAAATCGGAATGGAAATACAACCAGTTGCGCATTTTGATATTGGATTTCTTTACTTTACGTAGATTGCCTTTGTTTGCTATACTAGCTATAGAAGCTAACATTTTTCTGAACAAAAGTGCGGGATATGAGTGTGTGCGTGCATATGTGTTGTTGATTATTTATCAGTTACACAGTGAGTGTAAAACTTCTTTATTTCATCGTCGGAGTTCAAATTTTATTCCGACCGATAGTCGGAATGGCACGCACGTTTCCGCCAATATAAATTTTTCAAATTTCGTATATACGATGTCGATTGATTTTAATCAAACAGTTTGTCTAAACTATTTGTACACACTGAATGCACAAAATTATCTCTATCAAATTTAAGCATCTTCATTTGACGTACAAATGCGCATTCCGACTATTAAATTTTACCGCACAAAGGCTTTCCACTGTAAGATGAATTTATCAACTATGTCACAAAGATACCGTGTAACAGGATTTGCATTTATTTAACTATTATATCATACAAGAGTGGCATAAGCCTATTAGATTTTTTCCCATTCTCGTTTCTCGTTTCTCGTATTTTCATTTCATTTATCAATTTCATCGCGTTTTCTGACCAAAACTGACAACTGAATGTTGTTAACTGAATGTTGTAGAAATAGTGCCATATTTCGTGCACTGAAAATTCTGTACGATATTATTTTCTCGGTGATCGATTCTATATATTTTGAAAACATTAAAACGGAGTATGAATCTAAGTCACAAAATATTTTTAATAAAAATTAGAAATATTTAAAAAAAAAACTAACTTTCTAGAACAATGTTACATAATTAGTAAGAGGTAACAAACGTAAAATTATTAAATTCTCCTACACAATGATATCTACCTTTTTAAACGGGAAAAAATTCTATAATACTTTTCTTATCATTAATAATAATTTTCTTATAACTTGAAACTTTGTAGCGAAACTTTGTATAATTAATTAAAGAAAATATTTCGTCTTTGGGGCGATGACTTTGACGGTTTATTCGTGCTATTAAGGGCACTTTATTGTTTATTTACGCATCGTTACAAAAAATTAGCGTCACGAATTTGGCATATGGCTTTAGACGAATTCGGCCGGATTAAACAAGGATTCTATCTTTTCATGGATTCCAGGATCGGCGTAATTTCGTGAGAGCACCACCACCGGGCGTAGAATTCACTTGGGACTTTGAAGCCGTTCAGCCGATGGCACAGGCCACTCTTGCTCTGGACCCGAATCTAGAAGCTATGAGGTTCGAGCTTGTCCCGAAAGTGTAAGTAGATTAAAATATGCCCTGTCATAATACGATCTGTAATATCATTTCTTTCTTCCATTTACCTAAGATCATCAAAATTTCAAAAATAATAGTTTTTCAATTAATTCTTGCTATTCCGTAAATAATTTTATTAATTAATATATAAAGCTAAAATTATCATTAAGCAAGATCGCGTTATTATATTGAATACGTTACACGTTATATAAGATTAATAATTTTGAGATGTTTTGTTGCGAAACTTCGCGCTTACGTATTCTGAATGATTCGATATGATACAGTGAAAGATTAATAACGTTAACATTGGTTATTGAATTTATCATTAGAAATAAATTCAAGTTATGAAAATATAATTTGATTTGATAAATTGACTTGTGAACGAGCGTTATTTCAATTTTGATTTCATATTCAGCGAGACATGAAATGAGCTAATTAAATTATGTCGCAACATCCGATAAGAATAATGCAAATTATCCGCATAATTTTGATTAATTCAGTAAAATATGCGAGAAAAACGAGAAAAGAAATTGATGAACGATTGATAACGAGCAGCCAGTAATGAGGTCGATAAAAAGTTAACGCACAATTTGTCCCCTCATTGTTATTCGATTTAACTAATTAGCCGCTTCGAAAACGATCGCGTTTCCCTGTCGAAATCTTTGTGTCTAAATGTCAAAGGCTACAGAGCAAAGGCGATTACCGTGCGAAAGTATTACACGGACATACGAGTATATTGTACAGGTTTGATCGTCTCGGCGATTAATTGGTTCATGACTTCGAGTGAAATAATGCCGCGAAGCGCAACGTTAATTAACATCCGGCACCTGATCCCTCAATCGAAATCCGCCATCTTCATTGATTCTGAAAACTTATCCGACCTATTTGCGACAGTATATCCGAGGAGAACTTCTGGCGCAACTACTTCTATCGGGTGTCCCTGCTACGTCAGGGCTACGAGTTGAACGCGATGGCCAGTCAACAGCAAGCGGAAAGCAACCCCAATCAAACGCTCGCCAGTACTGATAGCATCGATCATACTCAAGGTAATCCGTTTCCTCCGTTTTACTTTTTCCCTGTTACGTAGAGCGGTTTGCGTAGTACGCCGACGTTCGGCATTGGCGACGTGATTAGGTTTTTTCAGTTTTGCTCGAGAGCGACGTCATCGCTCGACGCGCTTCCTAATCTGTTGGTACCAATTACGGAGCACGCAGCTTTCTAGAAATTCTGAAGGGGACGCTCCGTGTGCCGCCGTGGAATACGGAAATATTAGCGAGTTAAAGAGCGAGCGAATTTTAATTAAGCAGTACGTATAATCTGTCAAAACGAGAACACGTTTTGTAAACCACCAATTGCCTTTGGAGCAAATTGGAAATAACACTTTTGTGGTTTCTTCATCGAGACTTGTCGGTGTTACATCGAATGCTTGTTCGAGATGTACGATTATCCGATATTGATTTATTGTGCATTAATTTTATTCGCAATCCTCAACGTGATCAGATTTTTCAAATCTCGTTCGCCGAGAGTCGAAAAATTCCGATTGTCTGTACGCGGTCGGGGCTTCCCCTTTGACGTCGCGGCACGATGTCTTGCCGAGATAAATCCCGCCGGATTGAAAATGGCACAAGCTGCAAGATGCAGGACTTGCGGATGGGGATAGAGAGATCGGCAGCGTCGTGCTGCGTTTACGCCTGATTTGCAATTCCGATTAGCAACGTCCCACGGTGGGACGGTCTTTCTGCATGGTGTGGAGTTTTTGAGATGGTGTGCCTGTAGTGGCGTGCGTTTTCTGTGCAAATGTCATGCCGAATGCTAGGAATATATTGATCGAGAGAGAACCCCTCCCCCCCCCCGTTGGTTGTAACTTAAAATTCAATCTGACGAAGATGCTGCTTAGCATCCGTAATATTTTGTAAGATTATTGGATTTGAGAAATTGAGTCCATGATTATTATTGGTGCTCGCATTGCTTTTATTTATGTGAAAGACGAAATTAATGTTATGAACTTAATAATATTTATATTTTATTGGTGACATATTGGTGACATGATTAATGATACACTTCGAGATAAAGCTAACTTATTATGATTATTACGTAATTAATCATTATGTTATAATACATTAATAATAAATTTTTCCGCGTATAGAGAATACTGCATATCATTTGATATTACTTTAGTATTAATACTGATAAATTTCACATTCTTTCATTCTTTCATTCTTTCTGAAATACTATGAATGTTCAAATTAGCTTCATTTTAATACTTTTACAAACTCGATGGCAAAGGGAGGGATGAGGGAGAATATCATTGGAATTAAATTTCCTGGCGAAGTAGTTTAGTTAATGGATGGGAAGTACGCGAGATCGTCGACGCGAGTATACCAATGCGTTCCATCGTATACATGAGCTTTTGCACGAAACGTAAAGTCACGTTCGTAGTCGGGATTACGGCATTAGAGGAGAAAAGAGAAAAAGAAAAAGAGAGAAAGAGAACAGAAGCTTCATTCGCTCTGCGAACCTTTTAGTCGTGCAAACAATAGAATTACGATTGGAATGAATATTAACAGATCGAAGGAAATACTTGGTGGTTGACTTGAAAAATCGATCATAGAAAAACGAGTGTGAACGAGTGTGTGTTGAAATATCCTTGAACCCCCAAAGATTTTTCTGCGAATAAGGATTGCTCTTTTTTTCTCTCTCTCTCTTTTTCTCTCTCGCGTTCCATCTCTCCACCGTATCATCTCTCCGACCATTGAACCGACGATTCCTGTCGTCTCTTCTTTGGAGAAAAGATCCGATTTTGCTCCAGTTCCAGTGTATCGCAAGAATTTATCGGAAAGAAAATGCTGGGAAATTCGGTGATACTCGATCGAAGAATACGAATATCCCAATTATATTTCCCCGCTGATGAAAAAACGATATCTTTGCATTGATTCCCCTTTGATTTAATTGATGCGTGGCTCTTGTGGATATTCCTATCGAAAAAAATCGAAAAAAAGCATCCTAGAATCTTTCTTCGATATTTAAATCGCGGATAAAGATGACTTTCGTCGCGTGAGCCACGATATAAATATAGCATTTTTCCCTCGTTGACTATTTCGTCATACGTCATACGTCATACATTACATTTTATTTTCGTGACTCGGGACGTGCGTGTACTTAACTTAGCGATTCTCTACACCCTGCACTTAAATTGATTAAATATCATTTCGCTTTTGCGCGTTTACGTAGATTAATTAAAGACTCTCCCGCTTCCGCGTTCTTGGAACTGGGTGCGATCGGCTTCGGCAAACAAGGGTTTCTACGGCACCCCCCCCCGTTCATGATTACCGATCGTTTGCGTGCGAAATCAGGTTCCAGTAGACTTAGCGTTAGCTATTAGATACATGAACACGCGCGCTAATGTACATAATGACACACGCATCCCCATGTACACGAACACGTACACACACGCACCCCTACTCGTCTAGTTTAGCCGTCAGTGTTGTCTTGCGAACAGTTCAAATGACCACTGGCCAGACAACCACCACCGGCGTCACGACAGCAAGCAGTAACAGCGCGCTGGCCGATTCGCCAGGTCACGAGTTCGTATCCGATACCATGAGGGTCTCGGACACAGACCTCGAGGAGGTCCGAGAGGGGATGAAAAAGCTGGGAATGCAGCCGCCGAAAGGTTAGTCGTTTGATCGTTGGTCGTCGTTAACTCCTGAAATTTCACGTTTGTCTGTCCAAATCTGTCAATTTTGCCGTCTCGACTATCGCAGTTCTTCCCGCGATAATCTTTGACAAAATGTAAAAAATAATTGCAAAAAGCAAAATTCCGGAACTATGAAATTTTTTTTTTCTCTAAATTCTGCTCGTAAAATTGATCCTTTAAATTTTCAAAGTTCTATGACGGCAGCTCGTGTTTGTAAATTTATGTTATCCGACTAGAATGATTTAATGTCGGAGAACCTTAGATTCCTTGTTTCCTTAGTTTTCGTTAGTTACGACCACCAACGAGATTTTACATAATTATCTTACATAATAAGGATCACGTTTCCTCTTTGCTGGTGATTAACGAATGGTATCAAACAAAATTGAATTAATAAACATAAGACTCTTGAATAAACGTTCATAATAATATTCACAATTGCAGTCTTTTCATTATCCATTCCATTTGTGAATCTTTTGACTGAAATTAGATAGAACGGAATGAAAAATTTACGTTGCACACAATTAGCATACGCAATTAAGCGAAATGCCTGAAACATCCCTCTTATATAACTCTCTTAGGAACGTAGTCTCGGAGGAATGCAGGGTCGTTCCAGGTATCCTGTTAAACACTTAAACGGCAAAATTTGTTATCGGCTGAAAAGTGGTTCTTGAAAATTTCTTGTCAGAGGAGTTATGTGCCATTCATTGATCTCACCAGCAAAACGGAAACGGGTCACCAAGTTGATCGATGCAAGAGCTCGATCTGTGCCACGACACGGTCCAAGAGTACTCTCCTCGTGAGTATGAAATTAATGCCACCGCGTGAGAAGCCTGACCTTAATTTCTCAATGTGTTACACCTTCACCAAGCTAGTGTCGTTTCTTACATAGCTTCTCTGTACATCCCCTTCGATCTTCCCTGTCTGTGCTTTCTTTAGGGATTGCTTGTTTCCGAATTCTGAGTGTATGGCAACGACGTGCCCTCCGTCCCTATGTGCGTCATGTCGTTGTCGATGTTGAACGATGTCTTGCGTTTTGAACGTCTCTCTCTCTCTCTCTTCTTTTTTTCTCTTCTTTACATGGCGCTCTGACTAACGACCGTCTTTCTATTCTTATTTTGT